ACACCATAACCAATTTAGGATGACATTGTACAGAAGAGACGATATTGCAAATATGTTTGCAATCGAATTGAGTTGGACTGAAATTAAATTAAATGGGATTTAATTTAATTTAATTTTTGTCATGGGCGTGTGTGCATATGATGCTCACAAAAATACACATATGCTGATCATGCACTTCTATGTTTGTATATATATTTATATTTATATATATAAATTTAAAAGTGCACACGGACAGCAACATAGTTGCTGTCCGTGTGCGTTTTAATTTTATTAAAAAAAAAAAGAGGGGCACACGGTCAACAAACGGTTGCTGACCGTGTGCATGTCACACATGATCAGCAACCGTTGCTGATCATGTGCACATGTGCATACATGCACGATCAGCAACGGTTGCTGATCGTGTGCACATGCACGATCAGCAACCGTTGCTAATCGTGCATGCGATCAACAACCGTTGCTGATCGCTATATTAAAAGCGCGATCAGCAACAGTTGCAGGATGATGAAAAAGTGGGTATGCAATTATCATGTGTTCGTGAGAATTAAGAAAATACGTTTTCTCTCTTCCGACGCCGTGACTGAAATATCGAGAGTACGGAGAATTGTCGCCACAAGATTGCTAGCACAATTATATTGGTGATTACCCGCAAGTTCTTCCTTCCGTTCATCATGCGATTGGTGGTATGTCTGAACTAGAGGTCCGACGCTTGTGGGGTTTAAACTGAAGAACATCCGAACCGAAATCGTTTTGGGCACGCTACGAAAGGTAATTCGTTTAACCCCCTATGGTTTTTCCGATTTTTTATTGAAACGCACGAACAACGCCTTTGGAGATACATGTATGGTTGTATCTTTCCACTGCGTTTATTTTTAATTTAACTATGCATGTTCCGTAGAAAACCAACAGAAAGCTCCAAGTGAAAGCTCATTGAAAATAATTGCTAAACACCCCAAAATTTTCCCAAGGGGTTTTGGGGCGCCAAAGGGCTTTCAAAATGCTGAACCATCACACCCTTAATCCCGGAATATGGTCATTGGCTTGCTTAGAACCACTTTAGAATATATCTAATTTCTGAATGTATTTAACTAAAGAGTCTTATTCCATGTTACTTCCTACTTGTTTATTTGACTAAGATCTCATTTCTTTGAGGAATATGTGGTGAATTAAGAAGGTGATTATGTGTATTGAAATGCTTGTGAATACTTACTGTCATGACCAGTATGAAGTCACATGTGCCTGTTGATGATCTTCATGATAAGTATGAACTCATTTGTGTATATCAATGAGCTATATGGCCCGTATGAAGCTACACGTATGTGTTTGTGACATCCTCAAATTCGACCCTATTCTGGATGTAATGAAATGATTATATTCATCGATGCACTGTTAGTTAAATCTTGCTCTGAATTGATCACTCATGAGAGATTAGCCATTAGGGAGAAACTATTAAGGAATTAAGTAAGTACGACCTGAGAACTTGACTGTGGGTTGACAATTCGACCATAAGAATTGACGAGGGACAATTTTGAGCCATTATAGACCGATCAAGGAACGGTAATAGAATGTCTCGCCAATAATATATAATCGGATCGCGAGTAATTCTGCATGACCATTGTATGTGTTGCGAACGACCCTAAACCAATTCTTAATGATCGTGTACTTCGGAACTAGCGATTGACCCCTCACAATTACGTAACAACCGAGATCATCCATGGTTCGAGAAGGCTTAAACGTGGTTGGATATCGAATCAACCACGGGTCGAATACGTATAACTCATAAAAGCCGCCCGTTAGTTTGAGATATACTAAAGTCACAATTGATCGATTTTGACCACGAATTAGAATTCGAATTTGGGTATTGAACCTTCGAGGATTTCAAGACTAAACTATTAGATGTCGCCTCATTGAACTACTTGTTTATCGATTTGCTCGAAACTCTCGAAAAAGGAGTTAGCGGGCCGAGAATTGGAGTCCACAAAGAAGTGGGCCGAACGAAGGCCCAATGGGCCTCACGTCCCTTTGTGCTTCGGCCTAATTGGGCCCAAGCAAGCCCAAGAAAAGCCCAATCTAAGCCCACTTATCCATTTTCAAGCCCATTAGTAATTCAAGCCCAATCTTAATCCTTTTGAGCTCAAACTCGATTTATACGAACCCGTACAAAATTCTGACCCGTATACGCGTATAGTATTTTATATTATACTTTGTGAAATTACCAAAATGCCTTTCTAGCATTTATGATCATGAGACAAAGGGTTTAATGAGAGAAGACTTTAAGGAAATTGGCATTGATGAAGGGAAATGATCTTGATCTTGGCCTGATCAAGAAGCCTTGCTTGAGAAATATCTCACTTTTCACTCGCTCACTCACTCTCTCTCCTCTCTCTCTCCCTCAACCGGCCATCTCTCTCTCTCTCTCTCATTTCCTCCCTCTTGGCTAGCCACCACCGTGCCACCGTCCACCACCCTTTTGGCCGCTGTTTGGCCGCCAGTGACTGCCCCTAAGCCGTCGTGACCTCCTACCTCTATGTGCCACCCGTCTGAGCCGTTTCCACTGCCGTTCCGAGCCCCCACCGTGCAAACCAGCACTCACCAGTTCTGTTTGCTGCTGTCCAGCCATCCGTTGTCATTCCGTGTCGTTTCCGGACCGAGCCACGCGTAGCCCTTGCCGTCGCCGTCGCGTCCGTGTAGTCGGAATCATTTCTGAGTAAGTTATCGCCATAATCCCATGATTATGATCAGTTAGTTTAAGTTAATTATGCTTAATACTAATTAATTAGTGATTAGTCGATAAGCTATCGTCAAAGGGACGATAAACTCTCGAAGTTTTGAGTGATAAGCTATCACAATTAGGTGATGAGCTATCACTATTTAATTGAGAAATTATTATAAATAGGGTGATAAGTACACTTTATATGATTGTTTTCTACTTGAATTAAATGTTGTATTAGGCCCGTTTCATGCCGAATAATGCCTGTTTTACCTTGAGAAATATTTACCCTATGTGAAACCTTATTATTTAATTTTAAAAAGGGCTTTTGTGGACATATGAATACTAAACCCCGAGGTGTCGGGTTTATATGTCAATTTTTATAAGTTAAATAGGGCGAGGATGATTAAATAGGGGAGCATGGAAAGTTTGACGGTTTAATTATGTGTACGTGGTCACGTGTGATTTAATTACCGCATTTTTGGCATGAAAGTTATAGTATCTTGATATGTGAGTACAACAACGTGTGCATTGGTTGAATGAGAGAAATGAATTGGCTTGAATGATTGCTATATGTGCATGATCACCTAAAAGTTTTATGTGTGCCAAGTTATACCAGAAGACCGCCAATCTAGGGTTTGTGCTAAATCAATCGATGAGATCTGAGTTGAGCTTGGAAGTTGATGGATACAACTTGATGCTCTTGCATCTTCAACCTCGAACCCATCAAGTCAAATTGTAGTCGAAATTAGTCTTTACTTGTAGGAGCAAGGGTTGTGCTAAATCAATCGATGAGATCTGAGTTGAGCTTGGAAGTTGATGGATACAACTTGACGCTCCTGCATCAATAATCATATGAGAAAAATGTTCACAAAAGATGTAACACCAGGCGAGAGAAGTGTACACAATCCGGCGCAAATCTCACATCAACCGGATGTTCACGATAGCAAAAGTTGCTCGCTCTTTTGCTCTTGGCATACTGATTGTTACATAACCTTCTCACCTCCTCTCCTTATCAATGTCAAAAAAGAAGATATACCCTTAGGCAAATTCCAAATAGCATGTGCTTTTAGCAGTGAGGTCCAACAAAGTGAAATTGCCTTTAGGATTAGCTTATGGACTGCTCAATTACTTCAACCTTTTTCATACATATTGACGCTCAAATTTTACCCTAGTTCAATAGATTCATTATGAATCTGATCCAAATTTTGATTAGAGGTTGAAATTATTGAAGACTTGCTTTTCATTCTTTAAGAGGATTCCTAGGGATAACATTCATCCAATTTAGCATAATTCAACGGTTAAATAAAAATATAATTACTTGTAATGTAATCTGGTATTGCTTTTTAATTTACTGATTGTTTCTATCTTTTTTTTTTAAATGGGTTAAGTTAAATAGAAAGATAGAGAAGTAGCAAAGAGTTGTCATAAGAGTGTCACACGTTCTATGAACTGCTTGTTTGAGCCAGAACTGCTCATTTTACTAATGACTTGACAGTCGACGGTCCGAAGTAGACGAGTCCGTCATAATAGTTTCGTTAGATGAGTAAAACAGGAGGAAATCTCTCCACATAACATGACAAATGCCTATTTTACAAGTCCGCCAGAAAGGTGCACTCTCGATAAGATTTGAAAAAAAAGAAATGAAAAACTCGGTGAAAGGAGAAAATTGAAAAAGAAATAAACAAAAAGATAAGGCTCTATTTGTTTCGCGGAATTTGCAAAACATTTTCATAAAAATGATCGTTTGTATCTCTTGGAATAATTAGCCAATGAAAAAATGTTTTCATTATCCGAAACAATTTATGTCCTAAGTTCATCAATTTTCATAAACGATATAAGTAATCACTTTTAGGGAAAATGTTTTCCGGATCATTCGATTTTCGTTAAGCAAACGGAGTCTAAATTACAGGCCCAATCATTGGAATTGATCAGCCTCTTTTATGCCCGGTAGGATAAGCCTGTGGGGGGATCAAGGAAACACAAAAAAAAAAAAACGATCATAATTTACCAACAATGAGAAGCAAAGAAGATAATACGATGCTAGAGATAGATAACATTAATTAAAGTAGATAATACGATATATAATGATGATAATGATAATAACAATAATATTGATAATAATCATATGATAATAATGATATGAAAATAATAATAATAAAGAAGGAATGAAGAATGAAGTGAATTGGAGTAAGGTCAAGCGCGCCCAGCTTTAATTTCCTAACCAACAAACACAACATCTGGCGGAGATTTCAATCCCGCCCCCTTCCCTCGAACACATCGACCCTTCTTCTCCTCCTCCTCCTTCTCCTTCTTCTTCCCATCCCAACCTCTCTCTCTCTCTCTCAGAGACATCCATTGATCCGTGGTCGCTCACTTCGGCACGTTCCGAGGTAATCGCTCGGTCCCTCCGATTGGGATTTGCTTGAATTCTGTCTCCCCTGCGTCGCTCGAGCTCGAGCTTTCCCTTCTGGTCGTTCTCCGATGCCTCCTTCTCCGTGATGCTTTCTTCTTCTTGTTTTTCTTCAGGGTTTTCAGGCGCCGTCGCGTTCGAAATGGAGGCCACATTGCCAATGTGCGGCAAATCCGTCGCCTCCACTCCGGTAAGCATGCCCTGTCTCCGATGCCCTTCTCTTGAATTCGCTCGCTTCTTCGTTCTTTTTTTCGATATATCCCCCCCCCCTTCCCTTTTGGCGTGCTGGAATCGTGTTCGTGTTCGATCGGGAGACGATTCGATTTGCAGCTCGATAGAATGCCATGGCTGTGTGTGTTGTTTAGCACCTCTTGGTGATGTTATGCTTTAGAAGACTCCGCGTTTCTTTACGTTGCTAAGTGCTGAAGTTACCCTTTTGCAAGTTCTAATGTGATCTCTTCACCTAAAGCCTGAACCTTTGTCCTTGAGCACAAAATTAAATGTTTATGAAGTTTTGACCCAGAGAAGTTTGAGGTCGTGGACGAAACTCCTTTCTAGTACCCATGAAAATAATGGTTCATTTCCAAGTAGTGATCGGGAGACTTTGCGTGCTTTGGTGTGTATGTGCACTTGCCGGCATTCCACTTACTTATGTGCCTTTGATTGCCGTATCGCAGGGTCTGATTTTCAGAAGAACAGACATTATCCAGAGTTCTCGATGTAGCTTTCTTGTCGGAAGTAGGGTGAACTTCCCTAAGCAAAGATGTCACGCTGTTAAAGTTGGTCATGCTTCTAAGAGGCGTGGGGGAGCTCTTAATGCTACTTGCCGTGCTGATAAGATCTTGGTAGCAAATAGAGGTGAAATTGCGGTCCGCGTTATTCGAACTGCTCATGAGATGGGTATTCCCTGTGTGGCCGTTTACTCAACTATCGACAAGGATGCGCTTCACGTGAAATTAGCTGACGAATCAGTTTGTATCGGCGAAGCACCAAGTAGCCAATCGTAAGTTGCTTTAATTAGTGTGTTTGTCCACTTCGCTGTAGTAAAAGTCCGGATCTTTAAAGCTCTAGTATAAGTTTGACTCTAAGATCACGAGGCTGAAGATGGGGAATTTATTCGTGGTCCATGCTTTGTATGATAAATTACTCCAGCGTTTTGCAGAAGAGTCTAAAAATTCTGTAGTGCATGCTTGAATTTGGGGGGGGGCGACCTTTGGATGCATACTATTTCTCTGATTAATCTCAAAGTGATAACAAAAAAGCATAATAAAAAGACTGATTGTTTACTTAAAGCTTGCTCAATCTAGAAAGACGATTCTATTAACTATTAAGAGCTGTATTGCAGCTCCATAAGTAGCTGGGCACCTGGCATCCTGAGAACAATGTGATATTTTACCTTGCACGAGCTTTTTGGTAGTATGCTCACTATGCAGCCCATTAGCTATATATTTGGAAGCTCTCTATGAAGGAAGTTGTTGAAACATCTATGAAGTCACATTATCTAACATCATATCTGCTAATTTCTTAAAGAAAAAATTGTTGAGTTTCATAAAGTCATATGAAAAAGAAGAATTCAATCATAGTTCTCAAACGTTTACATCAACCAAATGCCTGCATGAGACCAATGGTGCTGTGTCGCTGTTTACAGGTACTTAGTGATCCCGAATGTTCTATCAGCTGCCATCAGCCGTGGCTGCACTATGCTTCATCCTGGATATGGTTTCCTTTCTGAAAATGCAGTATTTGTTGAAATGTGCAGAGAGCACGGCATTAACTTTATAGGACCTAATGTAAGTATAATTTATGAGGAGTTTCATGACAGAAAGTTTCAGAATTGCGAAGTTTTGAGAAGCTTATTTCTGATTTGCAAGTAATTTTGTGTGGTAACTTCTGAAAGATTTTAGTTAATGACTTGACTGATGGGATTGAGGCACTTCATTCACCAGTATCATGAAGAAGCAATGAGCATTGTCTTTGTTCCGCATGGCACGGAGAAGCTATGCATCAGTACCCTTTAATTTTTCAGAGGACCCCAACTGAGCTTTTGAATTAATTAAAAAATTGCTTCAACTGTTGAGCGTTGACCATCATGAGCAGATAGTATCTTTTTAACAACTAAGAACTGACCACAGTATGCTGTTGTTTAAATTATAGAAACTTCAGGTTGATTTTATTACTAAGTGGTGCACAATATTTGCAAAGCCTTTCTATAAAGCATGTTTTAGCTCAGTTTTTATTGCATTGCAAATGTATCCATTGGCTTCATTTGAATTTATTTCAGGGTAATTCGTTTTTTACAGTACTTTTACTGGAATAGCAACTGTGAGAACTTCTATATACCTCACTCTTTGGTTCTTAGTTGTCACGGAGATTGTGGTCTCTTGAAGAGAACTGACATAGAATTGAAAATGTATACACACATAGTTATAAAAAGGCATTCTAGCCCATGGGGCTCCCTTCTCAGTAAGGGTTGTCTACTGTCCACACCCCTTCCGTTGCTCTTTTTTTAAGAGGCTCTTTCCATTATTTTTTTTGGTAAGGATGCTCTTTCCATTATTTACACCTGTGACCTTCTAGAAACAGGATGGGTTACCTCACCATTACTCCAGTGCTTGCCCCCGTTAGATGTAGATATCTCATTTCTACATGTAAGTTTTTGCATGCATTTTGCAGCCTGAGAGCATCCGAGTGATGGGTGATAAATCAACCGCTAGAGACACAATGAAAAATGCTGGTGTTCCCACCGTTCCGGGAAGTGATGGGTTGTTGCAGGTATTCATAGCAGCTACTATGGGATGCATTTGCAGGTATTCGATGTTCCCATTATTAAGTTAAGATTAATTTTGATGGTTTTTGCAGAGCACGGAGGAAGCAGTCAGGCTTGCTCATGAGATTGGTTATCCCGTGATGATTAAGGTAAATTGCTCGGCCTAAGAAGAATGTGCTGAGTTTTGGAGAATCCTAATTTTCTTCAATCTTAGTTGCCTTCAAATGCTTCTGGATTTCATGCTCTAGTTTTTTGCTAAAACAGCGTAAAATTGCCAGCTCGTCTTTTGTCTTTCTTTAGAGGTTCCTGTTCAAGTGGTAGAATAGTCCCTGATATTTTTGTTGATAAAAGGTGGTGGATGTTAGCTAGGACCTGTAGTGCTTCCTTATGCTAATATATGATGGACATACTGAGCCCTTATGTTACTGGGACTCGTCCTTTAGCCACCGAGTGCCCATTTCAGCATGACATGATGGTCGTGTGGGTATGTCATCTGTTAATGCTTCTTTTACCTTCTGAAAGAAGAAGGGAAGTGAATTTAATATTTGAGGGTTAAATGTCACAAAATTTAACTTTATTTTTAGGGTCTAGATACTTCAACCTTTTCCTTTCCTCTGCAAATCGAAGCATGAAAACTTCACTTGTGGGTAAGATAGATTTTTTTATGCTAATTAATCATGTGATCACGGCAGGCAACAGCAGGTGGTGGAGGACGAGGAATGCGTCTTGCTAAAGAGCCTGATGAGTTTGTGAAGTTGTTACAGGTATTGCTTCTGTCTGCACCATCTTTCTTGGGGATGCATAGTTCCTAGTTCTGATTTTGGTTGTTGGCTACTAATTATTCTAAGTAAATCTGCTATAGGAAACAGAAGTTCTTTTTTTTTTTTTTTATCATGGCATTACTGCTGTGACATTTATCATTTATGAATTTGGTTGGGAGCTATGTGGTTCTACCATCTGATGAACAGACAATAAAGTCCATTTTCTGATCCATGTCCAGGCTTTTTAGTTGTGACTGAATATATGGCCATCGACACAAGTAAAAAAAAGAACGAAAAAGAACAGTGCACTAATATTGTCCACCAGATACAATTTTCATTGATCTACCTTTGATGAGATGATTAAATCAAGGGTATTGTTGATTATTTTAGCAGCATCCAAGATGACCTGAATCAAGTTTGATGAAAACACGCAGCTATGCTATACCCTTTAGACTTAATGATTGCATTACTAGTGTTGTCTTCATGCTTCTATCTTTGGACAATCTCAGATCTTGTTTCTAGTCAAATTCGATGTTAATTCCTTAATCCTGCATTAGCGTTTTTTATTGATCTTCTGATGATGTTGGGCCTGCTCTGGCTGTGTTCTATAGCAAGCTAAGAGTGAGGCTGGGGCTGCATTTGGCAATGATGGAGTTTATCTGGAAAAGTATATTCAGAATCCAAGGCACATTGAGTTCCAGGTAATTGCTGTATTTAAACATTGACAAGGCTTGCTGGAAATGATGACATTATGGAATTTAGTTGTAGAATATAAATAATAACCTGACTGCGTAGAATATAAATAATAACCTGACTGCTCAGCCAATAAATGTTACTTTTATCTTATTTTCAAATAGTATGGCAGAAATATGCAACTGCATTTGAGTGGTGGTACATCTAATAACTATTTCTTTGATTGTATTAGTGGATTTTGATCCAATTTTGGCTGCTTTACATGGCTTTTCAGGTTCTTGCTGATAAATATGGCAATGTTGTTCACTTCGGGGAGCGTGATTGCAGCATCCAGGTACTGCTGATGACTTCATTTCTCGTTGCATTCAGTTGTGTCTAGGGGTGAGCATGTTCATGGAGGGGCCAGTTCCAGGCTGGGACTCTGGAACCAGGAAAAGAACCGGATCCTCCCTAACTTTGGATTTCAAATCTATGTTAAACAAAGCCTAAATTAAACAACCGGGCAGAAACTGTTCTGTATAAAGCAACGCAGGTCCGAGACAGTTAAGTATCAAAGTAAACTTGAAAAAATAGTGTTAAAGTGAGTAAAATAGTCGATGTTGGGACCCAAAAAATGCTGAACCGCCTTCTGATGTTGGCACTGTGTCGTGGACCTCTAAATCAACTTTTGAATGAGTACTTGCAGGCCCCATAGTTCCACCTTGATCAAAAGTTATGGCATAGGGCTGTCAATTCCTACCATAGGCTCCCCTACTAAACTTTAACTAAGCCACAACTCTACATAATCTGAAACCAGTTTAAAAAGCTGGCCTTGGAATGGTGGCCTAGCCTGTTCAGTTTCAAGGTAGAACCACCTTCCAAGGCTGATATCAGAAACCTATTCAGGTATGGGCTGCTTCTAGAACTTTGGAAGAGGACCAGCCAGGCTGGTTCCGGCAGATTCCCAAGTTGAAGCAGGGTGGTGTTCAATCCTAGTTGTCATATTTGTGAAATTTAAGGTGCACGATGTTGCAAAATTGATCATGTTTATATCAAATATCAAATGGTATCTTGGCCCCAAAAAACATATATTGAACTGTATCTAAAATTAGAAGCATTGGGAAAGTATATGGTGGTTAGATTGGTCAAATTGCAAGTCTTCAAATATTGAGTGCCTTCTGTATAAGACGTAGTTACTCACTTGAATTTTGATGAGGAAGTCTTACTATTGGAGTTTTCTAGGAAGTGATGTTTATTGGACTCTCTTATGTTTAGTCTTTAGAGATTGTATCTACTCATTGGCATGCTATACTTTCAAAAACATATACTTGTAGATCTTGAGCATCTTTTTGCATAGTTGGAACTTGGAAGAAGTTATTATCATAAATTTCTGAGTTGCATGATTTCACCCCAAAGATGAGAGAAATCTTCATAACAGATAATCTCATATCAAGGTTATGTCTAATTGTCAAAAACTGTACTGGGCTGGACTTTCATTCCGACATAGCTGCTAAATGTGTAGCTGAGTAAAACCTGGTAATCTGCTGATGTGGTTGTAGCTGGGTATCATGTTTTATTTATTGGTTCTCATAAAAAACATCCAGACAACTTTCTAGTTTGGAAGTAAGAATATCCAATGTTTTCTAATGTCATTTACTGTTTTATTCTCTTTCACTGGCTGTTTATAGGATAATATATGTAGTTCAGATATAATATGCCAATGTGACTATGTACATGTATGCAAAGTCAGGGTGTAAATGTTTGGGATTTCCTTCTAATCATATTAATCTTATCATAAAAAATAGTCTAGAAAATTATGGAAATTTAATCTTTAACTCCCTTCTCTAGCTCCCTCCATGCTGTTCATGTGTGTTTGTGTGTCATTTATGGGGCAGTGAAGCATGTTTTGGTGCCAACTGGGAAATTTTCACCCTTGAACTTGGGTTTATTCCATATAACTTGTGTATGCATGTCTTTCCTTGAGTAGTGAAAATTTTCTAAGTGTCAAAGTTTTTCTGAAGTGTTGCTTGATCTTTTTGTGTTCTTTTGGGAGAACTAGTATAACAGTAGCAGCAAAAAACTAAGCCTTTTCCCATTACGTGGAAAAATAATTCTAGAATTAAGACAGAATTTGCTTGCCATGGTCAAAACAAAAGCAAACCTAATGAAAAATGAGAGGACACGAAATATCATCTTTAAGGGATGGTCCATCAGTCTATTCTTTGCCAAGAGTATGTCAAGATCGCAACATACCCTGTGTACCATCTGAGTTTGCAATTTGTGGTTGTTGGATGTTCAATGAGATCTCGTCCTTTGAGGAGGCTTGAACAGGTGTGGGGATTAACTGACCATTTATAAACCTTAGATCCATTACAAAGGTGTAGATTTTGTTTGCTTCTAGCTTTAATCTTATAAATCTCATAAATATGATTTATCGAGCAGAGGCGGAATCAAAAACTTTTGGAAGAAGCACCTTCCCCAGCATTGAGCCCAGAGTTGCGAAAAGCCATGGGTGATGCAGCTGTTGCGGCAGCAGCATCTATAGGGTACATTGGTGTTGGGACAGTCGAGTTCCTTTTGGATGAAAGAGGATCCTTCTTCTTCATGGAAATGAACACTAGAATCCAGGTTAGAGCTGTTCTTGTGTTCTTAGTTACAGTGTTGAGGGTTTATGCTAATTATCTTTAGAAATATTAATGGAATTAGCCCTTTTTCCCCCTTCTTTCTATGGTGGATCCATGTTCAGGTTGAGCATCCAGTAACAGAAATGATTTCTTCTGTCGACCTGATTGAAGAGCAAATTCGCGTGGCAATGGGAGAGAAGCTCCGCTACAAACAGGTATGGAAGGTTTTAGAGCTGATAGGCTGCTGAAGTTTGACTTAGTGTGTCCTTGTTTACATTTTTTCTGTTTGCAGGAAGATATTGTTCTCAGGGGACATTCAATAGAATGCCGTATCAATGCTGAGGATGCATTTAAAAATTTCCGGCCTGGACCAGGTACCAATGATATACTGCGATGAAACTTGGAGACAATGGTGTGAAAGATCTTGTATTCACAAGCACAAAAAATCAATTGTACCATTGCCTCTTTTCTTAGGTCTAAGCTCTTAATTGTTGTAAATTTATAATAGATTTTTTCCTCCCTTTATTGCATTCTGTCATAACCCATGATTTGACGGATAGAGCTTTCGTTTCTTGACTGAAACATATTGTTTTTCCGCTACTAGTTTAGAGTGTGATTCATAGCTTCGTAGTTTGTAATCATAGTTTGTTGCTGTAGTCGTCAGATTAGGATATGAATTGTGAATCAAATTCTTACATCCATGTTTTGTGGATCATGAGTTGAATCGATTCATAAGATGATGAAGCAAAAATTATTTTGTCATGACAGAGACACATATAAAATAAGTAGAGTTCACATTCTCCCATTTTCATTTGAATATAATAATATGCATGACCTCATTACCCGAAACCAATCCCAACCCAGACTCAATTCAGACCCGTTTGATTAACTTCTATTTTCGATGCAATTGCTTAGCCCACCACCACTACCACTCCGGTGCAACTGCCACCACCACCACAGTTGCCACATTTTCCTCAATGGACCACAAGCCTGTCACCACTGTTGCTGCTCCCAACTTTGATACAGTTATAATCATGGCTTCTTCTATTGGAAAACTAATCTGTAGAAACATATTTCTATCAACATTTGACCAAACTTTTCTGTATTTTCTGGCCCTAGCCATACCTATCGACTTGCCGTACATTTTCTATTTTTATTCATTTGTATGATATATTGCAAGATTTAGAGTTTTATCTGATAATAGTGGTTGTCGGTTTAAATCCTCAGTCATTTTAATTGGTTGGCTTCTTGTTGATTTTCCTTTACTACCCTTCATGGTTTTTGATCATGACATCTTATTTCATTCACGCATTATTTTATGAATTTGTCTATATAAAATTAACTCGTGATCATAACTTTTCTCCTCTCTTGAAAACCAGGGAGAATAACAGCATACTTGCCTTCTGGAGGTCCTTTTGTTCGAATGGATAGCCACTTATATCCAGATTATGTGGTTCCTCCAAGCTACGATTCCCTGCTAGGGAAGGTTAGTCAAAATGTTGACCGTCTCTGTTATTGTTTTGTGAGATTATGGCATGGTTAGCCGATCAATGGTTCTGCTGTTGTGTCTTATGTTCCAAGCATCTTGCTTTAGATAGTAAACTTCCTAATGGTACATTGCTAATGTATTGTAAGCGTGAGGTTTTTTTTTTCCTATTCCAAAGCTTTTTGATTAGGATGATCAATCAAAAACTGGGAAAATTACAAAAAGCATCTTGAAGTTTACATAGACATATAAAAAACTATTCTCAATTTAAAAAACCTTCAATTTGCATCTCCTCCAAAGTACAAGGACACATTTACTCCCAAACCCTACAACTATCTCTTTCCCCTCCCTCGTTCTCTTCCTCCAACGTCTTTACCCAGTCACATATAGCGGACACACACTCTCTCTCTCTCTCTCTCTCTCCACCCCTCGCCACTGCTGTCACCATCTCCCGACGCTGCCTCCTGTGCCCCTCATCTTGATCCCACCCTCTCCCCTCTCTTTCACGGAGCTCCCGGCAATGGGAGGTCAAGCTTGCATGGGCCGCAAGCTCAACCAGAATGGTCTTGCGTGAGCTGCCAGTTCAGCCCCAAGGCTAATGCGAGCTTGGCGAGCTCCATGAGAGAGCTTGCAGCGGCCATGGGAGGCTAGGACCTGATCTGGTCCAGATTGGGTTGCGACCATATCTACAGCGGTGATTGTTGCTGGCCTTGAGTTCGAGGTTGGCGACGGTCGGGGACAGCAGGGGGCCGGGTGGGGACGGTAGGAGAGAGATGTTGGAGGAGAGAGAAATGTGTATTAGGGTTTGTGGGTTTATGTTTCAGGAAGAGCAATTTGGGAAGGAAAATGGCAATTTCTTTAAATAAAAGGGGTTGTGAGGATTAAAGTTGATATGAAAGTGAAAAACTCAGAATGTAAGTTGTAAGTTTTACGGTGAGGACGGTATTTGATATGTGGGTGCAAACCTTAGAAGGCTTCTTGCAATTATCCCTTAAAAATTTGATTCTGTGTGCAATTTTTGTAATTAACATGGATAAAAATCATGAAGATCCAACATACTGAAGACTCAACATAATCTAACTATGAGTATGTCGTAAAAGTGAGAAGAAATAGAAAATATAAGAGTGAGAAACGAGAATTGATTAGCAGTATAATTGTTGACAGACTTCTTCATTTTTAGGCTTGGTAGAAGAGCTCCATGCTTGTATGAGATAAAAGGCTAGTGTTATAAAGATGATAGCGAGACGGTCTATGAAGTTCAGTTCTTAGCTTTAATAGATGACTCTTATTTGTTGATATTATTTTTTTGGTAAGGTATTTGTTGATATTATTCGTCGCTCTTCGGTTCTCAAACTTGGCAATTAGTGTCTCTAAATGCATGCTTCTGCATGACGAGTTACATTTTACTCTTGTATCTCTACATGGTCACTGCAGCTTATAGTATGGGGTCCTACAAGGGAAAAAGCAATTGAGCGTATGAAGAGGGCCCTTGATGACACTATCATAACAGGTAAGCACCGATTTGTTAGCTCTGAGCTCCAATCAAAGTATTATTTTCCACGTCTCCTTTTGTTGTCCTTTCGGTCCAATTTGCAAGAATAACCTTGGTCTGTGATTCTTTTGAGGAATAATAAGGGATTAGTTTGCAAACCAAGATATCCAAATATGCTTTCTATTCACTGCAGGGGTTCCCACAACCATTGAGTACCACAAACTTATCCTTGACATCGAGGTTCGCACACATCTTACACTCGCATGGATAGGATCATCCGACTGGTCATAAGGTTTTTTAGTCATTATGAAGCTATTGAATTTGGTTTCTTTTACTTTGAAGGATTTCAAAAACGGCAAGGTGGATACTGCCTTTATTCCTAAGCATGAGGAAGAGCTAAAGGAGGTAAGGGTTTGGAAAATTCAGAGCATTATGACCAGACATGAATCTAGTACTTGCTTCTCAGTTGAGTTGGTACGGTTTATCCTTACCCTCAACATTTTGTTTTGAGCATAGCCAACCATTCTTTGCCATTGTGTGTGTTAAAAATGACTAAGATGCAAAAGAAATTGTTGGTCTCCAAATGAAATCTTGTACTTAGATCCAAAACTAGATATCTGCGTATAAATTTGGGACAAAATTCACTCATGAGAATACTGAATTTGCTTTGATCTGCATCCGGTATATTGGCTCTCTTTCTCTCTATCTCTCTCTCTCATGGATGTTCTTATACATTTCCATTGGTATTGATGATGATTCATTTCTCAATCCTTGTCTTGACTCGTATTGTTTTGGGTTATTTTGCCTTATATTCTAACAGCCTCAGAAAATGGTGTTGGCAGCACCCGCAAAGGAATTAACTGGTGCTACAGTCTAGATGAATCCTGTTACTCAGAAATCACTATCATCCACAATGTTCATAGCTGGACCGAAGTATTTCGTCCTCAAACGGGGAGCTGAAAATCATCAATTTTCACCGGCACAGCGGGTTTATCTGCTTTTGTTGGAATAAGTACGAGAGTTGTTGGATGAGTTATAGATCTTTGTTCCGTCGAGTGGAAGTCCGTCCGTCCGATAGCATGTGAACTCGTTAATATTACTGAAGCTATCTATGCGGCTGTTTCTTTTTTTGTTCTGAACTTAAATTAAATGTACTCTTATATTTACATTTTTCCCCAGTTATATTTTAGATTTGCCTAGTTGGTTTCGCCACGAGGATAAGTGGATCAGTGTCGTCCTGTGATTTCCTACTCTGCCTATGTTGCATATCATGAATGTATCGGTAATATGATCTGATTGATCTTTTGGCTTCAAAAACGATCTTGAAATTTCTGTCTCCATTTTAATTAACTTTCACAATTGATGTTGGAAATCTACGATTTACATATCCAAACAGAAACCCAAGATCAAATTAACCTCAACCATACCCAAATCCTAATCCTCCTGTCTAAAATCAGCAATCTCCTCTTTGGCCAGCACCGCTGCCTTTGACCCACGTTGCCTCCTCCGTCAATGACAAAGACGCTTCCGACATGCCGTTACCCCTCTCCATCCTTCACCGTCCTCTTTTTCACCCTCTCTCCCGAATGCACGTTGATCGCAACCGGCATGAAGCACGAGCTTGTTCTCGACCCCATAATAGAGCTCGAGTTCAATGCCACAGCCTTGTTTGAGCTTGATGACGTGGTAGATCTGGGGCTCAGTGCTGGAATTCGGATCTGGGGCTTGAGCTTGACGCAATGACGGAGCTCAAGTCCTCCAAATCTGGGGCCGGAGCTTGGCGCCGGAGCTTGAGGCCACTCTCTTGGCGGCCATCGAGGAGCCACTAATCTCGTGGTAGACAGGACATGGGGAGGGAGAGACAGCGTAGTGAGGTGGCAGCCATGGTCAAATCTCACGGATGGATTGCCAAGTCATCGATCCAAAGAGACAAGAACCGTTGGATCGGTGGGTGAGACTTGATCTCCACTATTAGATCTTGAGACAAGGATTTGTATCCACCAAGATGTATCCTTATTATCGGATTGGTTGAGACGAGAATTAAATCTCTCTACCGTTAGATCAATCGGTGGGAGTGAATCTCCACTGCTAGATTGAATCTCTTTACTGTTAGATCGATTGGTGAGAGTTAATCTCCACCATTAGATTGGTATGTGATATTAGCTTGTGAGAATAAATCTCTACTGTTAGATGAGAGCCGAGATCAAAGGTTGTAATTAGAAGGACTATTGGATAATAGAAAAGCCCTCCCCTTATTTCTATCATCCAACATTTGAGCAATAGAAGTACATTCTCTTTCGGAGCTTCTCTCTGTAAATACTTTCTCTCTCTATGATCTGAATGGGCTAAGTCAATGAGTGATCGATCCTTAGGTGTTAGAGGCGACCGAGCCAAAGGGAGCCTAAGTGCTACATGGATCTCAAGTATCGGTCCATGACAAGTGGTATCAAAGCAATTTCTAGAGGGCGTGATCAAGAGACCTTTGTGGTGCACACCTGGTGTTCAAGAAAATGTGTGAGAAGCCGATCAAGTGCTTCTTTAGTGAAGGCCCACACCTTGCTTGGGATTGCCCAAAGAAGGGAAAACTTTCGACAATGCAATACAAGGAGGAGGAGGAGGAGCCAGAAGAGAGAAGTGCGGCTTAGGCATTGAAGCTTCCAACTCCACGAAGACTCAAGAACTGCCCAATAAACCTCCAAGTACAGGTTTGCCATTCTTGGAAATCAAGGTTAATGACGCAAAATTCAGTATTTGGTTGACACGGGGGTGTCAAACATGTTTATGTCGAGCCAAGCGGCGAAGGGGTTAGGACTTCGAGTGGAGCCAACTGGACATAGGTTCAAGGCAGTCAACGTGGATCATGTACCGGCAAGAAAATTATTCAAAAAGTCTTAAATCTATTGCGCCTTAATTTAGTTATAAAATTTTTAATTTTGCTAATTGAGTGCTAAACCTTTTTAAGTTTTGCCAACTGAGTCTATACGGCCAATTTTGCTGAAATTCGTTGACGTGAAAGATAACCATCATACATGGCACGACCATCGTACGTTTGAATATGAAGTAAACAAATTTTAATAATATTTTGATATTTTTTTTACTCTTATCCTTCTTTTCTTTTTTTCCTTTTCTATTCTTTTTTTTTCTTCTTTGCTTTTCCTATTTCCCTCCGCCGGGCTTTGCCAATGACCAGCAAAAGTCGTCGGCCTCAGGTGAGGGCCGCCCAGGCCTGAGCTGGCAAGGAAGGATAATCCTCTCCTGGGCAAAGGTCACTTGCGCCCAATCTGGCGAGCGCTTAGGCGGGCGAGGGCAACCCTCTCTAGATTGAGGGCAATGGTTTCCCTCATTGCCCAGGCGAGCACAACCCACGCTCGCCCAGGCGAGGCAATCATCACCCGAGTCCGGCGAGGGCAGCCCTCCCTTAAGACCGACGAGGGTCATGGCCGCCCTCACTTGAGGCTAGAGACTTCCGCCCTCCGCTGGCTATCGACGAGGCCCGGCAGTGGTCGGCAGAGGGAAAGGGTAAAAGAGAAAAAAAAAAAAGAAAAGAAAAAAAGAAAAGAAGAGAAAAGGGAAAAAAAAAGAAAAAAAGGAAAAAAATAAAAAATTATTAGAATATTATAAAAAATTATTTATGTTAGTGCTGGTCATGCTATGTAGGACGATTAGCGTACATGTCAGCGATTTCTAGCCAAAATTAACCGGATGGACTCAATTGGCAAAATGTGAAAAGGTTTATGACTCAATTGGCAAAATTAAAAGGTTTAGAAGTGAATTGGAAAAAAAGTGCAATATGTTTAGAACTTTTTGGACAATTTTCTCATATACCGACTGTTGGCATTGTTCGGAACGTGGAACTACACATCGGTGATTGGAAAAGCAAATTTTATATCGAGGTAATTCCATTTGATGAATACGATCTTGTTTTGGGTTTTGAATTCTTTGGTAGGGCGGATGCCATGATCAATATGAGGACCAACTCTATTGTTACCAAAATGCCAATCGGTGATGCCAGTGATCCTTGGGTTGACGGAGACCAAGAGTGTCTGAATGATACGACTCTTGAATGAAAGGTCTAGAGTTGAGGAGCCCGTAGCCGAGTTGAGGGGGAAGCCACAACCTTTAGAGGAGCCAAAGGTGGAGTTGGAGCGGTCTGCGCCAACTCAAAGTGAGATGCCGATTCATGTTCTTTTTCTGGAAGTGGAGGATTTGCCGGTCAACATGTAGAGGGTCGAACCAAGGGAGGAGTTACTTGTGGAACGAGTTGCGATTCAAGAGCCATATAGCCGACAATTCAAGAAGGGAAAGACTAAGCGGCATAGGAGATGGAAGAATCATCAACGTTTGAGGAAGATGATGATTCGAGGGAATGATGCGATCAGGCAAGCAAAAGACTACGAGTTAAGAGTGCCGAGGGCATCGCTTGATTGGGTAGGGGAGAATGTCATGGACGAATTGACAAGGCATTAATTCGAAAAGACAAGAACGGTCGGATCGGTGGGTGGGACTCTATCTCCACCATTGGATCATGAGACGAGAATTAGTATCCATCAAGATGTATCTCTATCATTAGATTGGTCAAGATGATCATCTCTCTACCGTTAGATCAATAGGTAGGAGTGAATCTCCACTGTTAGATTAAAAGGTGAGATTAGCTTGTGAGAATATATCTTTACCGTTAGATGAGATGGAAGACAATTCTAATTAGAAGAACTCTTATTAATAAGTAGAGGAGCCATTCCCTTCATTTGTATCCGTCAACATTTAAGCAATAAAAATATATTCTCTCCGAGAGGTTCTCTGCATGATCCAAGTGGGCTAAGTGAGCGAGTGACCAATTTTTGGGGAAAGACTAACTTAGGCATCCAAGTAATAGGCGATCAAGCCAGAGATAGCCTAAGTTCCGTACGGTTCGCGACCTCAAGTATCAGCTCGTGATACGAGGACGTGGTGCCTTGGCTCACAACGGCATGTGGCATGGCGCAACATTCCCTTTCTCTTCGGGTTTTCTTCTTCGTTCCTTTGGGTTAAAACCCTGCATCAAGATGGAAGATCGATTACATTTAACTGGCTGATCTGTCTTGCCCTCTACTCTGTTGCATGGAAACGGGCAGCTATGACTTGAATCGTGGGTGGAACAGAGACTCATTCCTCAGTGAAGATGACTCTGAAATTACATTTTTTAGAACTTGCGCCAAGCATGGGAAGATCAGATAATTTTTAAAGTATTTTTTAAATGAGTATTCTCAAAGCACTAGTTAAGCAACTATATCAAGAAAGTTTGCATTTTTCCAGTGCCATACTTTACTCACGCTTTGTGTAGTCAGTCTTTTGGGAAATATTGTCTAAAATTCCTAAATCTATTACACTTTTGCCAATCCAGTCCTAAACATTATAATCGTACTAATTCAGTTCTAAACCTTTTCATATTTTGTTAATTGAGTCAATCTGGTCAATTTTGGCCAAAAGTCGTTAATGTGGATGCCGACTATCCTACGTGGCATGGCCGGCACTGACATTTACAATTTTTAAAATTATATTCAACTTTTTTTAAATTTTTTTCTTTTGTTTATTTTTTCCCCAAATGTGGCCAACGAAGTCACCGGTCGACCATCGCTGGCCATAGGCAAGGGCCAGCATCCTTGCCCAGCCAAGGCGAGGGCATCAATGGCCCTCACCGGCCACGAGTGAGGGCGTCGGGCCCTTGCCCAGATCCAGGTGAGGGCATTGCTAGCCCTCACCAGCCACGGGTGAGGGCGTCGGGCCCTCGCCTAGATCCAGGTGAGGGCATCGTGGCCCTTGCCCAGACCAAGTGAGGGCATCGTGGCCCTCATCGGCCAACGGGCGAGGGTGTCAGCAAAGAAAAGGAAAGAAAATAAAAGAAATGAAAACTAAAAAAATAAAAGAGTAATTCCAAAAATATTATTAAAAATTATTCACATGATCGATTTTTGGTCAAAATTGACCGGACGGACTTAATTGACAAAATATAAAAAAGTTTAAGACTCAATTGACAAAAGTGCAACATGTTTAGGACTTTTTGGACAATTTTCTTTGGTCATTTGAAATTTGTGAATATTCGTCATTTAATATGTTCAACAAGTGTCCTTAGACATTTTTTACCAAGACCCTTTTCTCAAAATTATGATCAAGTAGGAATTAATTCGCAAGAAAAAGAAAAGCAAAAGGACATCCAAAAAAATTGGAACCTACAGTAAGTATATTTTGCAAGATTCCACCAGAGATTGGATTCTCAAATTCCACCGTGTTGGCATTTTCCTGTGAAATCGGTCGGCATTTATTTTGTGTGAAATTGGTTTTATGAAAGGTATTGATTGCAAATAAATGCAAGCTTATTGCATTCATTTATTAATAAAAAATCTGATGATCCAGATGAAATTTCACTTAAATTATACCCGTGTGCAGTTATCCATAATTACTTCTATCCTCTTGCTAAACCACTTGTCTAAATCAAGACTTCCATCTCCATAATTCATGGATTTTTATGGAAACAATGACCTTCTTCACTTGCTTGATAATTATCCATAAATTTCTATGTCTCAACCAAGCGCTTCTTTTTTTTTTTTGATAAGTGCGAAGTCCTAAAACTTATTATGAAAATATAATTGAATCCTAAAATTTTCAAAAGTGCAATTAAGTTTTAAAACTTGTCACAGAAGTGCAATCGAATCCTAAAACTTTTAAAAAGTGCAATCAAGTCCTAAAACTTATCAGTAAAGCACAATTGAGCCCTAAAACTTTCAAAAAATACAATCAATAAAATGACTTGATTGGACTAATTTGATAAATTTTAGCACTTGATTGCAGTTTTTGAAAATTTTAGGACTCAATTAAACTTTCGCGACAAGTTTTAAAACTTAATTACACTTTTTGAAAATTTTAAGACTTAATTGCATTTTTAGGACTTTCACTGCACTTATTCATTTTTTTTTAAAGATATCTATCTATTATCAGAGAAACTCTCTATCCTTCCATAAAGTATCCGGCTTGCGAATTTTCGGATTTCCATGTTGTATTATTTCCGTCGATCCCGTGCGCACAATAGCTACAAAGTCCCACTCGAAATGTCACCCGAATGCGAGCCGTCATCGGTGCGAGTTGGAACAGATCGACCTTTGATCACCTTATTGAAAAAAAAAAAAACATTCGGAAGTAAACTCTTATCCAGCCGAGTTATTAAAGATACACAACCATCATACTCAATATCCAATAAAATTTTTATATTTTTTGGTATTTAAAACATAAATAAAGTGGCGAGAAGATATCGTTATCCAGTGCGGGATGGACGTTACTCTTTCTCGTTTTCTTTCCACAAGGGAAGGGATGATGGCTGCTTCCTCTGTTTCCTCTCTCTTCCTTCCTTCCCCTGCTCCTGGTAATCTTCCACTCCCCTTCTCTCTCTCTCTCTCTCTTGCATTGTGTTCTGTTTCCGTTCGTTCCATTCGTTTGTCCTGTGTTGGGTTTCTCGAAGCGTTCAACGCTACTGCAAATAATCCTCAATTCAGTGATCTGCATGCTTCGAGGTATCTTGAATGGTCGAGGGTGCTCATCATGTGTATGCCAGTGGGGGAATTTTTTTTAGCAGACTCACGAGTGAGGACTCTCGGGATACATCATTTTGGCCATGTTGGTGCAGTCGTGTCATCTGATGCTAACGAACTTAAATCAAACTGTGGAAACAGTTAACATTGTTCCGTGCTCTGAGATGATCACACACAAGCACTTCGTTGATCGACATGGCCCGGTGGATGTTGTGGGGCTTTATACTGGAGTTCAATTGAGTCCCTTTAGAATCTACCTTAAGTCAGACTGAGTTTAAGTAGTTGGGTCGACCTATATCGCTTGAATTTCCCAATTGGAAGCTACATTTTGCATTTCTAGGACTCAGGCTGACATCTATGTGGGTCATGTCATTAGTTTGACAAAGATCTGTAATGACAGGCTGTGATGGAGGCTAGATTCCCAGTAATTATTGAAGTAAATATGCTGTTCTGATAGAACTTATAAGCTTGCGCTCGAACTGAATTACTGATCAAAGTGCGGAACTCTTATTTTTAAGTTACCCCTGGTCGAACAAAAAAAAAAAAGTTAGCCCTGTAAAAAGCTGGATGAAGTTGTTGGCGTTGATTAGCATTAATTGGCTGTTTTCTTTTGCATAAAATGGAATATTATTCCTCTGAATGTCTTCTAGATTTTTCCTGTGTATTTATTTGTGGGTACCAGATTTGATGAGGAGTTGAGATTTTGTTAGGTTTGGATAGTGGTAAAACCTCATGTACGAGTTTTCAAAGCAATGCTGGGAGAAGACTTGGAGGCCCATTTGTGCGGTGTTCTGGTGCAGTACCCAAGGTTTCAAATGTAGTGAAACGTGGTGGGCATCTAACCTCAGTCAAACGTCGGGATGCCATCGGATTGTTGTGCGGACTATCTAGTTTCTTCATCAACTCATTTGATGTGAATGGAGCTGGCTTACCACCAGAGGAAAAGCCCAAATTATGTGATAGTACTTGTGAGAAAGAGCTTGAAAATGTATGGTGAGATCACATTCCCTCTTTTCTTTTGTTTAACTAATTCAAGATGACTTGAGTCTTGAGATGGCATAGCGTACTATCAAAGATGTTTTTGGAGTTACTGCTATTTGCTGATAGGTGTTGCTGCGGAATTTTTAGGGGCTTCATGTAAATTACAGATCCATTATAGAGGACTTTCCCTTTGAAAAAACGCAGTGTTTTGCAATTTGGGAAAAAGTGCTAGAATCCCAGTGTGCTGATGACATTTTCTTAATATGTGGAAAATCATCCAAAAGGATTTAGTCTGCTGCATTGTATTTTGCCATATCAAAGTCTAGAGTAGGACAACATACTGCTCGGCTATTGCTTTGGCATATAAGTTCATGTTTGACATCAAGTATGGATGTTGTGGTGGCTCCGATCATTCACTTATTTATTTGATTCTTCTTTCTAGTTAATGGTCATTCTTAAGTTTGAAATCTTCTTTGCCATGAAGGTGCCAATGGTAACTACAGAATCTGGTCTGCAGTATAAGGAGATAAAAGTCGGCCAAGGCCCTAGTCCACCAATTGGATTCCAAGTCAGTAAATTGATTCCCTTCTGCAAATTGGTTCTTCTACCTTCCTTCCCTGAGAATATTTATGAACGAATTGCCACCATCGGAATCTTAAAGTTCTCACATATATAATTGCTACATGCCTTTTCCCTAGAGGGCCCTGACTGTGCTAGTAAGGCTGACCAGAATTTCCTTAGTCTAACATTTGATAATGATGTTGATGAATGATTCGTGAGATTTATCTGTACTCTATTTAGGGCACAGGCATGAGATAGGCCTTATTGTCTTAGTTCATAACACGAATAGGTAATTAATATTCTTTTTCTCCCTTTTGACGAGAGCAGCTTTTTTACATGTTTCCAAAACCATCGGAGTTTCAGCATGAATTAGTTTACTTTGGATCAAATTGTCTGAGTTGATTGGGTACTGAGTTAAAAAAAGTTCCGTTTAAACATTGAGCTGTTGGTAATTCCTCTCTTGTTTTGGCTTGGAATGTTTTATGGTAGTGGAGTTCCAGTTCACTACTGTTGATCATGCGCTGGTGTGAATCAACATGTGCTGTCTAGCCATTTGACCTTAAATTATGGAAAACTGAAGGCAGAGAACTTTCCAAATTGTGCTGCCTCACATTGACTATTAGCTTGCTTATCTTAGAAACTTTTCCTCTTAAATTGACTTTCTTCATGTTCATATCACCACCCTAGGTAGCTGCTAATTATGTTGCTATGGTTCCATCTGGACAAATATTTGACAGGTACGAGATATCATTCTTTTGCTGCTATCTATCAGTTTTTCTTTGAAATCTTCTATGGACAATATTTTCTTTTTAACATTAGAAGCTGTTGTCTGAAATCTTGAAAATTTTTCTTTTCTCTTAACTGGATTGAGTTCATTTCGCTTCAATAAAAGGTGTGTGTCTAGTTGTCAATTGAAGTAGGTGGATCCGACCTGGAGTGTAATGTGGATTCGTGAGGTCATTGATCTTTTACACCATTGCATGTGCCACCAAAAAGCTGTAGGACAGGGAGAAATTATTTGCATAATTATATCAGATGTTTCCTCGATGCTGGTGCTAAATTTGGAGGCAATAATCAAGCCAAGGTTCACTTGTTGAGCTTTATGTTGCTTCTTTTTGTCTGGAGATTGAAGACATTTTGATGCCAATTTTAAGTTAAGCGTGCTTGATAACTGTGTATGCTCCTAATCAACAGTTTTGTTAAAGTATCCCACATTGCTTGTCTATGGGATTTCCACGGGCCTTATATTCATGTAATTCCACCTATTATCTTAAGCTTTTAGGTTGGAGTTTCTAATAAGGTTTATCAACAGATCTTGATCTTTTCAGAATCATTTTCATGCTTCACTTTGCAGCTCACTGGAGAAAGGCCAGCTTTATATATTTCGGGTTGGCTCTGGTCAGGTGTGTTCTGGATTGTCTTATACATTGTATGTTGGTCATCAGATCATAAAAAGAGTATGAAATTATCTTTCTTTATGTTCACCTCTTTCCTGAAGATAGAACCAGTGCACTGTTGAACGCTAGTTCTGTTAAATATATGATAATCTTGTTTGGCCGTACAAGATGCACTAATCTTGGTCTTGCCTTTTGATTTGTACTTTTGTCCTTTACAAGACTTGTCATCCCAACTAAGTATTGGGATTACTGATGATGAGCTGGGGGGTTTTGATCGATTGGTTTGAGAAAACTGGTTTTGATTTGTGAGAACCTACAAATTTCCTTCAAACCCAGATTGGATCTTCCAGTCGAGTTTTTAACCCCACCTTGCCTCGTGTGTGGTTTTAATCCAGATTAATCACAATGGATATCAAAATGATGTATTAGCATCTCTTTTGTGTTTCTTAGGCAACTATAAATGTCATGAGTTAATCTGGAAATGATGTTAGCACAAATTAGGAAGTACAGGCCAAGTTTGTTGCAGTTGCCACTGCATATTGATAATTTCAACGCCGACATGTTTGAATTTTCAAGTTTGATTCTTAAGGTAATATAATTTGGGAAGAAATAAATTTATGCTGTTGAGACCACTTTTCGGGAAGAAAGAAGACGTTTTTTTTATTCACCAAGTTCTAGATGTGTGTAAGCATGTGCCGAAGAATTTTGATTGCTTCTTTGCTCATGACAATCGTGTGCCATTGGTAGGATCAGCTTTTAAGAATATGCAAACTTAATAAGTTCAAATCGAATCAGTAATTTTATCTTTTTCTCCTCTGGCCAATTATCGGTACTTTCTATCTAAGACAGTATTAATAGTAATTTTTTCTTAAACCAGTAGAGCCATATATATAGAATTTATAGTGCCAGTAGCATTGTACCCTTTTTTTTTTAATTTTCATGTTGTCTTGCATGAGTGATTTAAGAGACCCAAATGTCAAAGTTGCTACCTTTCTCCGGCTAATGGTGTTGATTTGCTACGTCTACACAACAAGCATACACATAATATGGCTTGTGTTGGTGCTCTTATGCATGGATAGATACGTATTCACACAGCATGAATGCAGATATGCCATGCCTATCATTTTGCAATGACAAATAGCAGTTGAAACGCTGGCTTAGGTGATCAAGGGACTTGATGAAGGGTTACTGAGTATGAAAGTTGGAGGGAAGCGTCGACTGTACATTCCGGGATCAGTAAGTTCCTCATTTCACAATGCCTGATTTTCAATGGGAAATAGCTATAGGGAGGGTTCCCAAATAAAAGTAGGAAATGTGCTAGCAGCTGAATCATTCTTTTATACAGGTTTGAAGGTGTCCATGTTAATTGTTCTTTTCTTTTGGTGTGAAATTATGAATTATAGGAAAAGAAGACAGTGGGCACTAAACTTGATTAGCATTCACATCTTATCCCTTGAAACCAAACCGAGTACTATAAAGAAGTTAACTGTCCCAATTCATGTAGTATTTTTGTCTCATTAATCAGAGGATTATGGTTTATGAAAACAATCTGGAAATTGGAAGGGATTGGAATCAAACTTTCCGGTAGTTTAGCAGTAACAGGTAAATGCACCAAAGGTATTATTCCAGGAAGGAAAGCTTTTGGCATGTCATCTCTTATTTTAATATGTTTTGGAAGTTGAGTGCAAATTTATGGCTTGGCATTTTATCCTGGCCTTTTGACTACTTACATTTTGATCATCTGGCAAGTTAGCAACTTTTTGTTGTCATACTTTGCTTGTCTTTCAAACTTACACTCATGTAGAATCAAGTACTTTTATTTCTTTAGTGAAGATTCTTAAAGACTAGTCGAAAATCTGTTCTATAAATATCGGTTTATGCTTAGTTCTGATGGTGTGATTCGCTCCCTCAACAGTTGGCGTTCCCAAAAGGTCTCACTTCAGCTCCAGGAAGGCCGAGGGTGGCTCCAAATAGTCCTGTTATCTTCGACGTCAGTCTGGAATACATACCGGGACTCGAAGTGGACGAAGAATGATAGAACCAGTTGGCCTTCTTCTGTACTCTGATAACTGCACGAGCTTGGATGCTACATCCATTTCGCTACTTTCAAGGTGTCATTGGGTTAATTCATTGATTTGATTGCTACAACAGAGAAATATAGTCGACTTGGAACTCAAACTCCACTTAAAATATGTCCGGAAAATTCGAACTTTTGACAGATGGATTGCGTCATACCATTCGCTCGATAAAGAGAACCTTTTGAATCTTGTATTGAAGGATTAAACATGATTGGCATTTCGCGACTTGGGATATCACACTTTGCGAGTCCTGCAACTCATTCCATCAGTTCTCCGAATAGCACACGAATATAAATGTACATTTTCGCCTCGAGTGACATGTCAAGGAATGGTCGTTCGCCACTGTCTTCGACTCTTCGTTTCTTCTTTCATTTCGTTCTGCACCCGAGAGAGGGTTCACACGTTCATGGCATGGCTTGAGCGAGCGAGGACGCGAGTTGAGCTCGTTTACAGACCTGGATAAATGGCAACAAGAGCCATCAGAAGAGAGAGAACGTGCTTGACTTTTGCTTCGATGTCTCGCTTATCATATTTTATTGGATAAAAACCAGTGATCCCTCTAGTACTGCATGAATGAAACTATCATTCCTTCACCTTTTTCTTTAGCGTTTTTTTGCAAAAGGGTCCGTGTACTTTTCAAGAAGGGGTTGTTCATTGCTGGGAAAAGTGCCAAAAAAGTCATAAATTTTTTATATTTGTGTCAATTTAGTTCTAAATCTTTTTTTATGCCAATTCAGTCCTAAACCTTTTGTATTTGTGTCAATTCAGTCTTAAACTTTTTTTTTGGTGCAAATTCAGTCATAAACCTTTTGCATTTGTGCCAATTCAGTCCTAAACCTTTTGTCTTTGTGCCAATTCAGTCATTCCGACCAATTTTGGCCTGATTTTGCTGATGTGGACGCTGGTCATCAGCGCTGACATGGACAACTTTAATAATATTTTAATATTTTTTTGAATTTTTCTTTTTTTTTACCTCCCCTCCCCTCCCTCCTTCCTCCAGCTAGCGAACGACCAGAGGCCAAAGGCCGGTGTCGGCGAGGTCAACCTCACCGGCCATTGGCGAGGCTCGCCCTCGCCAACGACGGCGAAGGCGAGCCTCGCCATGGCTGGATGAGGCTCGACCTCGCTGGATCTGGCGAGGTCGTACCTCGCCCAGACGCCGGCGAGGCTCGCCTTCGCCGTCGCTAGCGAAGGCGAGCCTTGCCCGTGGCCAGCGAGGGCGAACCTTGCCCGTAGACGGTGAGGGGCTGGTCGCCGGTCCGATGACCGGATGGAGGAAGGAGGGAGGGGAGGGGGAAAAATAATAATAAAATATTCAAAAAAATATTAAAATATTATTAAAGTTGTCCACGTCAGTGCCGGTGACTGGTCGGCGTCCACGTCAGCAAAATCCGGCCAAAATTGACCGAAAGAACTAAATTGGCACAAAAATAAAAGGTTTAGGACTGAATTTGCACAAATATAAAAAGTTTAGTACTGAATTGGCACCATAAAAAGGTTTAGGACTAAATTGGCACAAATGCAAAAGGTTTAGGACTGAATTGGCATTAAAAAAAAGATTTAGGATTAGATTGGCACTAGTGCAAAAGGTTTAGGACTTCTTTGGCAATTTTCCCTTGATCCATCCGACTCTACTGGAATGTTGACATGGACGCCAGAATAGCAACTAAAATAGATGTTGCACCCATGTCACTTCCCTATTTGTTCATCCTTATATTAAGTGCTGATGTGGTGCCAAGTCATCGTCACTTCAACAAAGAGAGAGAGATAGAGAGAGAGAGACTCTACTGAGTGGTAACATGATTATGTAGAATCTGACACATGTTCAGTGCTGGAAGGTTGGAAGGAGAAGTGTGATGAGCTTTGGAAGGAAGCCTCGGTAAACGGCGATAGTAACTCTAACTATCCTCTTTTGTGATGATAAAATGACCAACTTAATTTAGGGATTAGAGAAGTCCATGACAGAACGGTGGTCGCCACCGGTAACAGGACAATGGATATTCAACGTTGACGGGTCATGGATCGAAGGCAAAACAGAGGGGTCGGTGGGTGGGGTATGTAGGGATCACAGGGATTTGATTTTAGCTGGGTTTGCAAAAGTGGCGACTGCTTCTTCTCCTCTGGAAATTGAAGGCAAAGCAGTGAAGGAAGCCATGCTCTATTTGCGGGAAGTGGCTGAGTTGAAAAACGAATCTGTGGAGCATGTGAGCATTTTGTCAGATAATGAAGCTACCGTTAGATTTACTAATCAACCGTCTTTGAGCCCATGGGCTTTGCGAAGTCTTTTTGAGGAATGTAATGCACTACTCGCCCAATCTCAAGGTGTCTCTCTAGCCCATTATACACGCAAAGCCAACCAAGTCGCAGACTGGATCGCCAAGTCCCATCGAAAAGGGACACTTCCAACCGACGGGTTGTCCAGACCACCCCAATCTCTTTGGGATTTATTTTGTATTGACTCTTAACAACTTCACTCATGTGGTCTATCTTTAAATGAATGAAATGGTATATGTGTTTTGACCAAAAAAAAAATTTAGGGATTAGAGCACCGTTTTCCTACGGCAGGAATAATTGGTTCAGATCCAATAGTAGGTGGCACTTAAACAGATATGACAATTACGATATTTAATAAGTTATTTCAACCACCTTCTCTTATTGATTTTGCGTCTTTCCCACCACAATTGGGATGGCAATTAAATGCTCGAACTGATAGCAGCAATATATTAATATTTTTTTGGCAGTAGGATATTAGAAGTGCCAAAAGTTATTAGGGTGCTCACTTTAATGCCAAAAGTTATTAGGGTGCTCACTTTAATGCCAAAAATTTTCGCCGACTCACTTATTAAGTGCCAAATCGGAGAAAAAACAATCACTTAAGTGCCTCTTGCGACAATTCCAGCTAAAAAATTATGTGAGTTTTTTAAGTAAATGTTGATGCATTGGTGGCTTTTCCATTAAAATAGGAAAGTCCACGTGGACGATGAGGTGGCCTTAATCATAAAACGACGCTGCACTCCCTCTTTCTCTGTCGTTCTCTATCGCTCTCTCTTTCTCCATCGTTTTCTTTCGCTCTCTCTTTCTCTCTCATTCAAAATCTCATGGCGATTGAACCACCTTTTGTGGTGATGCTACGACCACTAAATCTTGCAAATCTCACCGTTCGCGACCTTTGTCTCGGAGTGAAATTCGTCCTCCAGGCTGGACAATGCGATCCCGGTGAGGCCGAAAAGGGTTTGACTGGGCCAGATGGATAGGGACTCCTACTCATCCCTATACAATTGTTTCAACTTGGTGGAGATGAAGAACGAGAGAATGGAGAATTCCGCTAGGTTTTACAAGTTCTTTTGTGGAATTGGGATTGTCCTCAAAGGGCTGGAGCTTCTGGTCACAGTCGAGGTCATGAAGGAGCAAATTGATTCTTCACAAATTGGAGCTAACGATCGAGGACATCAATAACTATCCTTTCTTCGTGGATTGCAGTGTGAAGAAGAACATGATGCCGGTGTTTGATTTGCTTCTATGCCAATTTATCTCCAATTTGTCAATTTAGGGAAAAATGGCGGACGAACTCAAAACGACTTTCTCTGTGTCAACTTTGTCCCTCGCTCACTCTCTCTCTCCCCCATTTGTCCATGGCCTTGTTCAAGCTCCGGCTATCTTCCCTAAAATGTATTCCTCTGCTTTCCTTTGTTTTTTCACTATCACAAGGTCAAATAGTGTGCTCCCAAATTCAACACAGAGCAAGAAAACAAAAAAAAAATTTGAAAAACACTGGTTCCATAGGCCCACCCGGGGACTGGACCAGATCGGTCGGTCTAGATGGTCGGTTCCCAGTTCCAGAAACTAGGAACCTGTCCTTTTGGTCTAGCTCCCGGTTTGTGGGTGGAACCAGACTTCGCCGGATCCAATAACTCCTATGAAATACCAGCTTGAACAGCGAACAAAATTGAGAAAATGTAAACAGAGAATTATCAGTGTCTTCTGCTTTTTACCTTACCTCGACTGATTCGAGTGAAGAGGATCCGTAAGGAGCTTTGAGCATGGTGTAGGACTTTGAGTGCTCGAGTTAGGGAGCCCTCGGGACACGGAGGAAGACTCGAAAGCACCTGGTCATACCCGAATTGTACGTACAGTCTATCAGTCATCGGTTGAGCGAAGCAGATTCCTAGTTCGTTCTGTCTCGGATGTTTCGGGATCGATATGGATCTCAAACGACGACCACTAGACACCACGGCTATCATCTTTGAGTCTAGTTTCCAACGATGTATGGTTCGGGTGTTAACTCCCCCCCGGTACAGCCTGATGTCCGCGATTGTGTAGGGTGAATCCTCTATTCCGTCCGGCAGTCCTTTTCTTTATCTCTCCTTCTTACATACCGGATATGGTTGTCTCAACATGCTCTCCTCCAAATTTTAGAACGAGGCAACGGCCGACGAGTGCGTAATCGCCGCTTTCGCGTGACCTTTGTTCTCCCCGAGATTTCTCTTTTTTGGTTTGTTTTCGGGTGTTTATTTTTTCCGCATTGTTTTCTCTCTGGATGCCCGATATCCCCTGGGCAACATTAGATATCTCATAATATGTAGAAATCACCTTCCACTCTTTGATCCATAATCCTAAAAGGCAAGATTACATATTGACCTAGGGGGAAAACAGGTATTGCCAATTCTTGAATAGAAATTAGTGAATTTGCTCTCTTGAACGAATATAATGGGATAAAGACATCTCAAATACCATAACTTTCGTACGGCTCTCACTTAAGTGCCGTAATCTTTTTCTTTTTTTCAAATCACTCGAGTGTCATGACGTCCAAAAAAAGTTCATTTGAGCATCATAACTTTCAATTGATTGCTTAAGTATCATAATTTAAAAAAAAAAAAATGTATTCACCACATATACCATGTCACGCCACGTCGGCTCAATTAAAGCAATGTAATATAATCGTTTAAGACTCTTGTACATTATCCATATACCGGATTGTGTAGGGTGAATCCTCTATTCCGTCCGGCAGTCCTTTTCTTTATCTCTCCTTCTTACATACCGGATATGGTTGTCTCAACATGCTCTCCTCCAAATTTTAGAACGAAGCAATGGCCGACGAGTGCGTAATCGCCGCTTTCGCGTGACCTTTGTTCTCCCCGAGATTTTTCTTTTTTGGTT